GTGCAGAGTGTGTGTGTGTGTGTGTGTGGGCGTGTGCAGAGAGTGCAGGGCCTGGAGCCCTTCCTGCCTCGGGGCACAGTGCCCGGCCTGTATCAGAAGAATCCTTCCAGCTTCTGCCACCACCAGTAACACTTTAGGAGACGATTTTTAAATGTGGGATATGTTCTAAACCAAGAACTCTCTAGAAGGTATATTAAAAAATACAGTTCGGAGGTTTTAAGTAGACAGTTGGCATTTCTTCTCTTTTAAAGAGTTATGTGTATGGATAACTTGCCTACATGTAAAGATACATGTACCACGCGCATGCCTGGTGCGGTGCAGCCCCCGGAACTGGAGCTACAGACACTGTGAGCCGTTGTGTGGGTGCTGGGAATTGAACCTGGGTCCTCTGAAGGAACAGTCACTGCTCTGAAGCACCGAGCCATCTCTCCAGCCCCAAAGCTTGAAGTTTTAAATAAAAAACCAGAAGAATAAAACATCTTCAAAGATGAGATAGCTTCCTATGTTTGAATTATAGCCAGTGAAATCAGCAGATGAAAGAAACGAGGCAGACCTTCACATCACTCGTTGCACAGTGTGTATTGGTTTTAGTTTACAGCGTCTCTGAATTCTGAAGTCTGTAAGCTCCTTAAGAACAGTCTATCTGACATTCACACCCAACTTTGCTAAACAAACATCCCATTAAATGCTTGGTAACTGGTCGCTGAACCTCAGGAGTTAGGGATAATTTCTTAAGTTCCATCCATCTCCCAAACAGCACTGCACCATTTTTTCCTAGAAATCAGCGTAGATTCTTTTGTACTAACATAGATTCTATTGTTACTAGAAATATGCTTCGTTTGTGATTAGAATTCCTTTACCAGTCTCAGCTCAGGCTTGCACAGCTAGTGAAGATAACCAAGCATGGAGCCGAACACATTCTTCAGTTTCCAAAGTTTGCCTGGACTAACTGGCTTCTATCTTTCTTGATTGGTGCTGCCCTTTTGTTTGCTACAGGTTTTGCAAGACTGCCCAGAAGAGCCTGAAGCTATTAATGATGAGGAGCAGTTTGAGGAAATTGAAGCAGTTGGGAAATCACTGTTGGATAGGCTCACTGTCCCTGTGGTTTACCCCGACGGGTATGGTGCCCACGCTTATCGATTTATTCTTTAGAAAGCCAGGTTTCTTAACTTTTTTCAACTCCTACAATGAATCAGCGTAAACTGAAGAGTCCAAATTCTGCTGTTGGCAGCAGTGACAGTCGATGTTAGCTGACTTCAGATTTGTGTCCTGACAACTTGTAGATGGATGACCACAGATTAATTAGTTTAAGACACGGCGCGGAGCCTGAGCTGTGGTGATAGTGAGTTAGGAGACTGTGGGCCTCGTTCAGAAAGGGCAGGTCGGGGGAGGCCTGACACCAGCGAAGCAGCTTCAACATTTCAGCCCTGCTGCTTACCCTAGCCCGATCCAGATTATTTATGACTTAGAATTGAAGGACCCAAGGCTCAGATAAAAAATAAAGCAAGAAGACCAGAATTTCCCAGTTCTAGGTTGTTGGACTTAGGACACAGTCCAAACAGGTCTATTCAGCTCCAAACCTGTCCTCCTCTCTGGGCTCTAAGGCGGCCTAGATTTTCAGATGAAAACACATCAGTCACCTGTACCCTTCCTTTTTCTTTCAAATGTGAAATGGCCTGATATGAAAATCAACAAGCCAGGAGAAGAATCAAGAGTTTTATTCCTGGAAATCTGGTCCTTGTCAGTGAGTCAAGGAGAGGTAGGGCAAAGGAAGTTTCATTCAGATGAGAGAGAAACCAAGATAGAAGACAAGATATCAGATAAAGTAAGGTATCCTGGCTTCTTGGTAGTGTGATGAGGATAGAGGCTGGAGTTGAGGGTCTCTGCTCCTTTCCTACCTCCCCGCTGTGACTGCAGCTCTCTCTCTCTTGGTTCCCATGTCTGATCATAGGGTGGGATAATTGTGCCTCTTCAGGTCACAGCAGTGGGGGACCTCCTGGAGCCAAACAGAAAGAATGAACTTGGATATGAGACACAAGGGCCATACTGCTGTGTCATGAGCTCCAAAGAGTATTTGGAATTCATGTAGAAAAAAATACCATTTTATTCCCTTGGAAGAATGTTATTCATAGCCTATATTACTGAGAAAATCTCTAGGGATGCCTAGATTTGAACTGTCAGAAGTAGCTTAACCCCATATGATTTACCTGCAGCAGAAGAGAGTAATCCCAGCAAAACTGGCTTCCAGGCCAAGTCACTGTGCGTGTCCTCAGGTGGACTAGTTTGTACTCAAAGGCTAGATCCCATTTTGCATAACATTTACAGTGAATTTGTGTTAACCTGTTTGTTTTCTGATTTTAGGACTGAGCAGTATTTTGGGAGTCCAAGTGACATGGCTTCTACTGCAGAGCACATCAGAGACAGAATGAAACTGGTCAGTCTCAAAAGGCAGCAGCTGAGACATCCTGAAATGGTGACCACGGAGAGCTAATGTCCCCAGCTCCCACAGGTCCACAGGTCATGCGCCCACAAGTCTTTGCGGTTGGCATGCTGCAGGGTTAGCCACAGCTCATTAAGATGCATTTCACAACAGGAAAAGCCTTTCTTCCCACAACACGTCTCTCTAAATGCTAACACCTCTCGACTGCCGAGGCATACCACATAACACGCTCTGAGACTGTAGACTCCAGGGATCTAGAAGAAGGAACTGTAAGCACGGCGCGGAGTCCTTGCTTTCACGCTGTACCGGGCTTGTCAGTGTGTAGATGAGCAGCTGATACTAAGCTTTGAATGGTGCTAATCAGAGTTTAGGAATTCTCTCTAAAACATGGTTGCCCTTCCTCCCCAGGTGATGTAGGATATTTAGATCATAGTTAGACTATTAGTGAATAGTGGTGTCCTCAAAATTTTACTTTGTAATTCTTCAAAATGGATTATTTTTATTGTCTATATGAAGAAAACCCTTCAGATCTTTGATATATCGTATTCATTGAAAGACATTTTCCTATTGTATTCATAATGTATTAAAAGTTGTTTGTGCTTAATAAAAGTCTTCTTTAAACATCTTATTTAATTTGGTAGTTACATCCTGGTTCTAAACACGAGTGCCTTACTAAAAGGGCATTCTTAAGATTTTGAGGACGGGTTAATCATTGCTTTTGATGGTGGCTGCATGTATGTTAGGCAGGAATTTCACATTTATGCATGTGTATATAATAAAAATAAGCATGTTTATTGTGAAGAACAATTTAGACATTTAAGAACATAATAATAGAATACTATTTTTAACTTTTCTCTTGAAAAGTGCTGTCCAAAATATTAACTACCCTGAAGACACTTTGTCTTGGGGGAAGGAGGGCTAAGGATGAAGGTATGCATAATTATTTCAGTGTAATCTTTTATATCACAGTAATCACGCTGGAACTAAAGCAGAAACTGTTAATAATATTTAACATGATACTAGAGGCAAAATCATCCTGAAGAAGTCTAGTCACAAAAACTGTACAGATGTTTAGAAATAAAATTTGTCATATAATGGTAATGCTTTTATGGTTGTATTAAGTTATAGAATGTATATAATTTAACATTGTGTTTTTATTTTAGAAGATTTTTTAAAGTGAAAAATAACTGGGCTCATCAGTACAAAATTATGCAAAGAACTGTATGATGGTTTATTTTTACGATCTGTAGAGACGCTCGCATACCCTCCTATGCTAAAGCCAGTTTCCCCAGCCTTCTTGTCTACCAGCTGTGAATAATTCCATGTTCCTTGTCCATCCATCCTCCTCAGTCACTCTGTGGTACCTTTCATTCAGCTTACAGCTCACTTTACAGGAAACCGTCCTTCTGAAAATCAGCCAGTCTTCCAGTTACCGAGTTGAATGTTTTTGCTCTCTGTCACGTCACCTCCCTTTTTCTCTATTTCTAGCATCTCTCCCAGTGTTCCAACCCTCTTCTATCTTCTGCTGTGACTGAGCGTTTAGTTCTGGACTCATTTAACGCAGGTCTGTTGCACATGCGCATTCTGCCTCTGTCCTCTCTCTCGCTGGCTCATTAGGCATCTTATCCCCAGTGTCCTGCAGGACATGCCTGATCTGAAATGCATGGCTTTCAGCTGCCTCCCTGCCGTTCCCACAGAAACGAAAGACATACTATACTTGCCTTTTCTTCCTGGAGTAGTTTGATTAATGGTGCCACAATGTCCAGGGCAAACTTCAACTGTTCCCCATGTCTTACACTGCCGCTGCCTCTGAGACCATCCAGACGTTCCTTCTATACTTGATAACCCTCCTCCGGGGCTCTCCTCCTGTGTAGGAGCTCCTGCGGGTCTTTCTTCAGTCTTCATGATGGTGCTAAGCCTTTCCTGTTATGTCGTAAGTCCTTCTGGGGGCTGACTCTTGTCTCACAGGTCTTGTGCCCACACCTCTCCTTGTGTGTAGCATGTTCGGTCCTTCGCCTGTCTCCATTGTAGCATCAGTAACAACCCTCCTCTTCTGTAGTCTGAGGTGTATTTAAACAGTGCTATTTTCTAGAGTCAGGACTGCCTTGTAAATGTGTTTCCGCGGAATAAGCCTGCTATTTTAGACCCTTAGACATGTAACTTTTAGATGTTTGTTCCTTATATTCACTATCTGTTCCTTTTACTGAGTTTCAGATTCACCAGTGTTTTTATTGACTTTGTAATTTACCATCAGCTCATGGATGCATAATTCCAAATGGGTTAACTGTCATAGTCCTTAAGCCCACTTTCCTGTAAAAAGTAAAGAAAGACAAAATATGAGAAAGCCATGTACGATTTGAATAGTTACATGAAACCAGATACAGAATGAGCATGGTCCCCTTCATTGGCAAATGTGGTCCCCTTTTCTTTGTGTGTATCTTTATAGATACACAAGAGTTATGAATAAAAACCCAGCAGTGCCCCAAACTGACTTTTCTCCTGTGGTCACAGCTCATGTAGAGGACAGATAAAGGCTGGGACTTCAGCTTGTTTGAAATATCAGACCTTTGCTGACGTTGGCCTACAGACAGTTCAAAATCCTCTTCCTTACTGGTTCAAGGCCACAGGCCCATGCATGTCTTTAGTCCTGCCTAGGAACTCCCTGGCATGTTAGCATGTTAGTTGAACAGTTTCTGTTAGCTTGTGTCTCGTTGGCTGCTGCTTTCCTTCCTTCCTTCCTTCCTTCCTTCCTTCCTTCCTTCCTTCCTTCCTTCCTTTCTTTCTTTCTTTCTTTCTTTCTTTCTTTCTTTCTTTCTTTCTTCTTCTTCCTCCCCTTCCCCCATCCTCCTCTTCTTTATCTTTTTCTTCTTTTTGGCCTATATCTTTGTTCCTATGTAAACTCAGTAGACAATGGCAGCTTGAAGCCGTCTCTTAGTACATGTCTGACTCAGCAGAGCTGTGATGCAAAGATGATAACTTCCTTTTAAATCTTTTGGCTTTATTCCCAGCTCTCATTGTTTTGACCTTATTGCCCAGGTTGAGTCATTAGTGACACTGGTGAAGGTGCAGCCTCTTAGCTGGCATTCCATGCTTGAGGGTTGACTGGATCTTGTACTCTGTTGGGGTTTGAACTGGCTTGTGAATGTCCCCTACTCTTAATAGTTTGTCACCTCCTTACTTCAGGTCATGGACGATCTGCTATTAGCATTGCTGCTGTCATTCTTCTCAGTGAGAACAGGACAAGCTAATTTTTTTTTCAGTAGTTCTAAGCAAATCTTGTTTTCTCTTCTAAGCCCCTTTGCATGCCATGGTGTGACGGTTGGGTTGGGCGAATGTATCCCACTACACAGGCCATGTCGGTAGGGACCATCAGCATTCTTTCATACACTGCAGGTGCTTGCCAGAAGAGATTGTCTGTTCTTACATATGCCTCACACCCTACCCCAAACACACCGAGTCATCAGAACAACATGACGGCTGCTAAAAACTAAAAGAGACTATAGCTGATGTAACTCTGTAGACCTTGAGTTTGTAGAGAAGGTACAGGCATAAATAAGCATCATTAAATAGGCAGTCACCTATGACAAGGCTTGTACACAGCTGCTGTCTTTCATTAAGCACCCAAAGGGAAAGCTCTGCAGGACAAACAGGATTAGCGTTAATGTTCAGTTCCAGAAGTCAACGTTCCCCATCGAGAGCAGAAAGTAGTATTTGGCCCTGCTCAACTTTTCAGAATCAATATGTGTCCATAACTATCCTAGAGACTCTGAAATATGTAAATGTACAAGTCATCAGTTTCAGTAATGAAATACAGTAATCCTCAGAAGTATTGAAAACTGAAGGAGCAAATACAGTGGAAGATATCATTGCTTTCTCCTGTATTTCAGAGCAGAAAATAGTATTCTGAATCTTGCTCTGTCATTGATGGAGTGGTAGAGCCTACACACTGTTTATCTGCTCTGCTCCATAACCTTCTCACCTCCACCCTCTCACCCCTACCCCTTCAGCCCTACGCCTTACCCGTTTGCTCCCCCCACACTCCTACTCCCTTCACCTTACCCACTTCTTCACCTCTTTCTCCTCACCCGTAACCTTTCACCCCCACCCCTGACCCCTACCCTTTCACCTCTGCCTCCTTTGCTCCTGCCCCCTTTTTGCCAGTGGATAAGGAAACGTATATTCAGATTATATATCTGAGATGCTGAGGGTGGCACTGGTGCCCTCAGCAGTATACTGAAGCTCTAAAGCTGACAAATTCCCCACTGTGGGAGGAAAATAGAACAGACAGACAGAAGACAAGACAGGATTATCATCAGTGCTGTGTTTGACAGGGCATGAGTCAACTCCACTAACTCTGTCAGTTAACACAAGCCAAAGAAAGACGACATGGTTGGAGTGTAAAGAAAGGAACAAGCCATACAAGCAAGAGCATGAGTCTGAGGGTATTTGTAGAATCTCCCAATACTGAGGTAAAGATGACTTGAGACAACCATTAGTGTCAGTTTCGGTTAGAGAAGAGGCGGTTTGACAAACTCGGGCAGTGATAATGGGGAAGACTGGTCTTGTAATAGAGGCTCAAGTGAGGGTGTGCCCTGGCAGTGCCTTGGAGGTGACGCTCAGTATGACTTAATGCTGCAGTGGGAGTTTAGAGTGAACTTGAGACAAGAATAAACACTAGACTGTGCACTTGAGGAAGAAGCAGAACCTGTGCTAGGACATGAAGATCTTCAAGAGCACGAGACAGCCAGCACTGAAACTAAATATTTTGAAAGCCGGTGAATAAATTGTTTCAGAGAATCAAGATTATTTTTGTGAGAACTCTTAATGAGGCAAGATGCAGTATATAATTTTTATATGTCATGATACAGGAATTCTAAACATGGCTAAAAATAGTTACTGTCAAGTATTAAGAGCAGAGCTGTGAAAGTTTGAAGGAAGGCATGTGGAACGCCATGTCTGATAGGAGCGTTGCACTCTGAGGCTGCTTCCTAGTGAATCTTGAGGAGGCATCTTAGAGGTACAGACAAGTCAAATGCAGAGCGAGCACGTAGGTCTGTCCACTGGCGACAGTGGCTTCTCACTCTGCACACTGAAGCATCACGCCCTTCTGTCTCGTTTTTCTGACTGTCTTAGTTTATAAGATGGAGCACAAACCGTTCTTAGGGTCACTTTTTCTCCAGAGAGTATGCCTTCATCTTAGCTCAGGTGATATTCTCCACAGCCAGTCAAGTTGCTTGGAGTACTGTATCTGGTAGGTGTGCTTCTCCAGAGCCGTGAGATGATGGAACTATCAGTCGGGCAGCTTTTGACAAGAGGAGAAGTGGGAGCTGAATCACTTGCCTCACACTCTGAAGAGAAACTCAGTTTTCTAAATTGGCACATAGTAATATTTGATGATTACAATGGTGTCTGAACATTTTGGGGGCAGTACATGTCAAACCTCCCGTTTTCTCAAAGTTTTCTTATAAAAGTTTAAAGTCTATAAAGTTTAAAATAATGTCATAGTATCCCCACCACCTCAGCATTAGTTACACTTGCTTTGTCCATGTCCATCCAGATTCTATTTTGATGCATCTGAGACTGCAGGCCTCTTCCACTTAGCTACTTCCGCAGACCTCTCACTGCAGGGTGCCATCCTCGCTTATAGCTTTCTGTGACAGAAATTACATTCCTAGAATCTACATGCACGGAACATTCCCGGGCTCTGTGTGTGTGTTTAAATATATCGAGTATTATGTAGAGGGAAATACACCCCTCTAAAAGTTCCCACACAACCCTTCTCACCCATCACTGTCCCCACATGACAAGCACTGTTTTTGTTTGTTTTTGTTTTCCTGCTGTAAGCTAGATGTTCCATTTTAGAGCTTGTTTTTAATTCACATCACATCAGGTTCTCTCTTTGACAAGGCTTCTTCACTACCGTTGTATTTGGGAGCTTCTTTCATGGACTTGGCATTACTATTTCATCCCCATTCTACTGCTAAGTAGTGTCCCATTTACTATATATTGCCACTCACTTTCCCAGTTCCTTATTGGATAACTGGGATGTTGGACTCAGTTACAGTGATCATTCCTAAGCACAGCTGTGTGAATATAGTTATTTGTTTGCTCATGAGTAAATACTTAGAATTTCTGGCTTGTAGAGTGGTTTTTAAAAGAAAAAAACTTATTTTTCCAATGTGTTGTCATGTTCCCTGATTTTTTTTAAAAATATATCTTGGGTGTATAAAAAGGTGTAAATGATTTTTCTGATTCCCACGTTGAGATGGTAAGAGAAATTGGGGGTAGAAATGACATCGCTTGTGTATGAATGTGGTAGTTGGAATAAGAGGGAAGGGTTCCTCTCTGCCACAGAACAGCTCCCCCAGAGGTCCCTAAGACCAAGTATGCTACTTCATTAGCTAGAAGAAATGGCACTAGCTCGATGATGTTACCTAGACCACCTACTTTGAGTAAGCAAAGTGAGAGGAATCATTGGGTAGAAAAGAACACTGTGGTGGAAGTGGAGAGGCCAGAAAAACACAAGAACATACACAAGAGCCGGTTCCTGGCACCACAGCATGAAAAAGGCATCTGTGCAGGGAAGTGCCCAGGGGGTGGTCAGGAAAGCAGAAAACAGGTTGGGAAGAACTCTACCTCACAGTTTTACGTAGCAGATAGGTATGGCATTGTAGACATTTTAGCCTTTAAATGTCATAATTTCCATCTTTTCAGCTTGACTTTGTTTGCTTCATACTTGGGTGACTTTTTTCTCCTGTGTGTTATCTTCCTCTTCTGTTCTATTACACAGAGTATTCGCCTGTAAAATTACGGTCATGCGTATGTTTTCAGTGCCCATGTTCAAATGCCTTTGTGTTACTTACCTAACCTTTCCAATGAGACTTTTAAGGGCTGGGAAATTTGGCTTCTACTGTATATCCTTATAATGTGCCCAATTGTAAATATGCAATAAAAATCATAAAATTCAATGGCAGCAGGTTTTGATATGTATTTCTTTGCCATATTGTTAACGGACAAGTTTGGTTTCTATAAATAAAGATTGTTCATAAAAATCTAGGGAGAATTTAGTCATTACTGATCCCTACAGCATAATCTGATGAGTTTTACATCTCTGAACCTATTTTGATTATTTTTAAAGTTCAATTTTGACCAGTATTTTCTAAAGATCTTTTATTAAAACAAAAGAAAATGTAATGTAGCATGCTTATTCTGAAAGAATTTGAAATGTCAGAAGATAGAACTTTCTCTCCCAACTCTTAACAACCCAACCATCTTTACTAGGTGGCCTAGGTTCAGTGCTGTTGCCAGGTTTGGCCCTCCAGGGTCGTCGTCATACACAGATAGTACGTCACTGTGCATAGATAGGACATGTGTTTCCTCTCTTCCCACCAGGCAGGCGGAGGAGACTGAGACTGCATCTACATCTCCAGACCCCGAAATTATCTTTTTTTAATTCATCAAAATCATGTTTCTCTGTAAATAATTGCAGCTGCAGAATGGCTTCCATGAATTATTGATTGCAAAAATTTGGAAATTTGCAAATGAAGTTCTTTGAGTGATAGTTCAAGATACAAACAAAATGTATCATGCAGAGAATTTATATCAGTAGTTATTCCATCTTAATTAGTGTCAGAATCTCTAGATTTCCTGGTAAAGACTTGATGATGTATCCATGAAGTTGTTTCAGATTTCTAAAGGTAAGAGCTCTTGCCTGTGATCTATGTTTACAATGAAAAGAAGGTAAATGTGTGTAGTATCAACCTTTGCTATTTCTGTCTGCCTTATCTGTAGAGTATTTTCAGACCTAACAAGCCCTACCAGTTATCCTCTTGCATAAACAGTTACAGTCATGAATGGTTCCTATGATAGGACACCATGACCATGGCAACTTATGGAAGAGTTTATTTTGAGCTTACAGTTTCAGGAGGTCAGAGTCCGTGATGGCACAGCCTCAGGTGACCAAGCATCAGGTCAGAGAGCACATGCTTAACTGTAAGAGGAAGCAGAGAGCACACTGGGAATGGCACTAGTCTTTTTGTTTGTTTGAAGCCCACCCCTACTGGCCTACAGCAAGGCCATATCTCCTAATTCTTCCCAAACAATTCCACCAACTGGGGTCCAAGTATTCAACATGTGAGCCAATAGGGTATTATTTAAACTACTGTAATGGGAAGAAGTCCTAGACTGATGGCAGAACCAGTCTCTAGGCTCTTCTGTTAGAGCGAGGAGCATCAGAAACAACCATTAAAACAATTACCAAGATATGGTTGCTTCTCTTCAAGCTTACGGATTAAGCAAACTGCTGTAGGATGACCTAGAAACCTTTTTTTTTTTTTTTTTTTTTTTTGATATAGGGTTTCTCTGTAGCCTTAGCTGTCCTGGATTCTCTTTGTAGACCAGGCTGACTGGCTGTGATTACAGGTGTGTGCCACTGTGCCCAGTTTAGAACTCTTATTACAATAAATAATGGTCATTTCTGAATGGTGGATCTACCTATAGGTTTTAGAACATATACCATTGATTGCTGCTGTGTTCTTTTAAAAAAAATTTATAAAGCTCATAGACCATAGAGATCCCTCTGGGAGGGCTAAAGGCTATAAAAATAATCACAATGTAGACATACAGTTAGAAGCAAAGTGAAAAATCTCAAATCCATGACAAACTCAGTGTTCCCGAATCAACCAGAGAGCTTATGAAAATTCCGATTCGGTGAGTCTAGAATCAGATCTGGGGTTTTGTGTTTTCATCCTGCAAACCATACATAGTTGTGAGTATTCTTGTTTTTTGTAATAAGCTCTAACTCAGCCCTGAATGGCTTCACACATGTGGCTAAGGTCGCTTTGAATTCTTATCCTTCTCCCATGTGGTGTGATTACAAGCCTGCACTACCACATTGGCTTACATACTTTGAATTGAAAGGTTCTAGAGTAGTCTTTATAAATACTTAAACATGTTGATTTTCAGACTCTCCCTCCCATGTTTCTAACACATAAGAAGCAAGTATTCAACCACGGAGATAACCAACAACTCAATTTTCTTATCAGTTTTTTTAATAAAAAAAGAAATACAGAGTTATGCCCGGGATGGTGGTACATCCCTTTAATCCTAGGACCCAGGAGACAGAATCAGGCAGATCTGTAAGAATTTAAAGCCAGCCTTCTCTACATAGCAGGTTCCAAGTCAGTCAGTGCTGTGTAGGTGGCATTTTGGGGAACCATGTCAGATTATTTCCAGAAATTTCAGATAGCAAATGCATTTATTAGATTACCACTATCTGGAAGACAATGTGTTTTCTACTATCTTGTGAGTCATGAATGATAGTTGTGAGCAACTAGAGAAAGCCCTTTATAGTTTATTCTTTTAAAATCCTGTTCAAATACACTCAGTTACTGTTTCTCTAAGAGTACCATAGGTCACTAGAAATGTACAGGAAGTAAAAACTTCCCACAGCCCATCAATTTTATGCCTCTCCTTTGCGTCTTTGCATGATACATGTATACACAGCTTAATCCTGCCTTTCTTACCATCAGTGTCCTCAAACCTCACATTTCCCTTTATGAACATTTTTTCCTGTGCAAGTGAATGTGGAGAGCAACCACTGTTTATGAACCTTGACTTTATTCCCTTCCTTCTTAGCGGTGCTCTAAGCCATGCTGCAGGGAACAATGGCCATCGTGTGCCCTTTTGATGGCATCTGATCTTTCAGCTTGGAAGGTAGCAGCACTGACATGGACCTATCCATTCTCTGCCAGATTCCTCCCCAGAAGGCTGGGCAAGTTCATGCCCCCTTCAACAACTGGAGCACCCAACGAGACTTTTTTTTTTTTTTTTTCAGAACAGAGGGTTTATTTTTAAGCCTTTTCAAATCTTAGACAAAAAAAAAAACAGTTGAGTTCACTGAGTTCACGTTATTAACTGAAAACAGTGTAATGATTAGCAGTATCCACGCTGCTTCCCCAATGGAGCTGTAACTACTTTTCTATACTTCTCCTTTGGAGCCCTAATACTTTTCTCACTTGACTGAAGAAAATTTAATAAAAGTAATAATTCATCATAGTTGTAGCATGCATTTCCTCTAATTTGTTGCTTAGTCTGGCTTAGTGAATGAAGTTTAATGACATTGGCATTCACATGTCTGGGAGACCTTTGATAACTACCTATGAATCTTTGCATGGCTTTGATAGTTGGGAAATACTTCAGCCTGAGTTATTTCCCTCTTGTACAGCTTCCATTTTCC